CAAATAAACATTATATATGTCCATAATATATCTTAATGTTCTTATTATTTTTTTTTTTCATTTCGAAAAATTACTTTTAAAGATTGTTGGATAAAATTTAAATTTCTCGCAAATTTCTTTGCAAATTTTATCAAATTCAAATCGACAAATGAAGCGTGTAGATTCAATACGTTTTGATTTAGAAGCACGACTGCCGGATATGAAATTTGAATATAAATTACCTCTACAAATTCTTCTACGCATTCTCTTCGTCATGTGACCCGTCATCAACCAATGCTTGAAGTCTCATTCAAATGTTCATTCCATGCCATTACAGCGCAATGTTCCGTAAACTATGCGTTAATTTGAGCAAGGAAAATGTGCACCCGCTAAGAAATTACTATAGAAGACAAATTCAGATTTTCCATCAACATGATTTGAAACAGGGCCCTCCACCTACGGGAGCTGTTCCCTTAAGTAAGTAATTTCATGATATTACAATCGTTATCTTTCATAAAGAACTTTAATTAAAAAAAATAATAATGAAACCCCACCTGTTCCCAAGGTAGTCAACCGAAAAATTGGTATTATTTTTTTTTTAATCTCTAAATGAAATATTGATGGGTGTCAAATTCCTGTGGACGAACTTGCTATATAAACCCTAACGTAACTGAATCCTTCAAAATCCACACCCCTGTTTTGGAAGATTTCGGCGGATTCAAGATACATCCATATTGAAAAAGTTGGGGGATTTTCAAATTATAGGTTTTGCCCTTCACCGACGTTTAAACACTGTACTCAGTGTGTTACCTCCCGAGTGAAAGTTGGAAAATCACTCGGTTGGGACTCGAACCCACGACCTCCTGCTTTCCAGTGCAGATGGGGGATTTTGATGGATTCAGGACAGTAAGCCCAGCGGTCCTGCAGGATTTTGATGGATTCAGGATACCTCTAAATTTAGCAGTTGGGTGAAGTTGATGGATTCAGGATCTCAACAATTTAACCCATTGGCTATATGTTTGGTGTGTACGAGGTATTTATCATACTACACTGGTGGATTCTGATGGACTCAGGAAACCAACATTTTTTTACATGACAAAATTGGGGCCGGATTTTGGCGGATTTAGGATATTCTAGTTAAAGTGCTCAAGGGGTTAGGGTTAATACAAAGTTGTTGAAAGTAATTCCCAACTGATTTGGCCTCTCTACGATAGCCCAAATAATATGGCTTTACTCCAAAACAATGCATCATGGATTGAAGTCGCTTAAAAAAACAAGGATCTCCTGAGACGGTCTGTAAGCAATTTCTGCCTTGAGGGCGCTATATACATTTCCATACAAGTAAACACAACATCCGAGCAGAAATCTTGCCAAAAAAAATGGAACTCCGCGGAAGAGGAACTAAGATCAATTAAAAATGAATACCTGCAAAAATATACGCATCGCCGACAACCGCCAATCAAATTACAAATAAATCACACATACGATGATCCTGCAAATGTACACAGAAAAATCTCTTTTCTTGAATAGTCAGACAGACTATTATTTTCTGCTTGTTGACGGACAGCTAACCTGCATGTCAGATACCAAACCGATGCTCTTGTGGTGAAAACTCAAACTAGTTATCACACATGCAACACGATCTACAAGACGGACTAATGAACACTACTAGTTATTGAAATTAGTGAAGTTGTTGTATAACATCATAACAACTATATCTACTACCATTCGAAACAGGCTAGCTAGGCTATACACGTACCTTACGTAACATCCACGCACCAAATCGTTTTTATTTTTTTGTACAGCCTTACTTTTGCTAAATTTATACATAATTATGTCAAAAAAGTGGAAGATGCGTTTTGTTTCTACAGTCATGCCCCAAAAATGTACATGTTTTAATACCAACCTGATCAAAACTTGGCACACACCCTTGCTACGTGAGCACACATGAATTGTAATACCAAAGTATGGAGTAAAATTATCTAGCTTGGTGTGTGCTTCAATTTCATCAATGCTTGGAAAAAAATTGTCTGTGACTCTTTGACTTTATGGACGGACGAAAGAAAACCCTTGTATGCCACGGTCTCAAAAATCTCGGTCAATTACATACACTACTTAATTAGGAGCCTCTTAAATACAATGGAAGATTAACTATGGTTTGGAATACTAAAACATGAATACAAAGACTCGGAGGAAAAACAATTTGGAAAAAAGTTGGAAATAAATTATAATTTATCTGTCCATGATGCTGCTGCATGGTTATGTTATAGCCAGCTATGTTTCTTCATTCAAAGATTGACTAAAACCCACACAAACAAGTGCGCATACTAGTACATTACTGTCAAGACATAAGCTGGGTGATGACACATTATGTACATGATGTGATGATGACGCATACAGGTGCATTTAAACATGCGCTTTTCGCTGGTTCACTCTAAAACTTTTATCCCCCAAAACCCCCCACAAAACCTCTTACCAATAACTGAACAGAAACTACAATCAGAAAATCATTTTCAGTTCGATGGAAGTGAATCACGTCAAAATTTAGCACTCTAAAACTGTATTAAAATTATGAGTTGAAGGCGAGACTTCCGCAACTGTTTCCACAGCAATTAGGGTATCCCATTGACGTAGCTAATTTGCATGCTAAAAACTACCGTCGCTTGTCCTCGAAGTCCCTCTGTTCACGATGGAAACTAGAAACATTCAAGTTGAAGTACCTAACTGAAAGGGAAGACATGCATTCCCAAATCTCACTATGCTTCGAATGAACGTGTGCCTGGCACTGCAGTGCGTGAGGCTAAGTACATACATCTCTTTCCTATTACAGTCTTCAGTAGCAACAGCCAATGTACTTCCGATGGTGAAACTAAAACAAGCTCATTCCTCAACCCAGCACTTCCGCACTGCTACC